TACTTGAATTTAGCGACGAAATATTTTATAACTATTTAATCTATAGCAAAACATATCAACGAGAAATTAGCTATAAAATAACTATAAAATGTGTCATAACTAATATGTAAAATTTGTGTAGTGAAATTCAACTAATAGTCTTCAAATTAAATTTTAAATTAGGTTGAAGATTATGGATAGTAAATAATATAAATAAGTATTGTTTTTAAAATAAAAAAAGTCATTAAATGAGTGAAGGTGAATAAGAATTTAATTGGTATATAAAATGATATTTTTATAATACAATAAATATATAATATTATTATTAATAATAATATTTTTTATAAAAAAAATAAAGATTATTATTATTATAAATTATAATAAAAATTATAAATATAAAATATATTAAAAAAATAAAAAATTACTAAAATAAAATAAAAATATAATAAAATAAATATTATTTTAAATTAACGTAACTTATACAAAATAAACAAAACTAAATATATTATATCTTTTATAAAAAAATTATATTTAAAAAATTGATTCTAAATATATTTTTTATTAAAATTAGCTGGACTTAAAGATTTATTAAGGTTTTCAAAATAAGAACCAATTATAAGGTGTATTTAATTTTGAAATATGTAATAATTTAGCCAAAAACTTAAAAGTATTGCAGATAAGAATATTAATATATTAAAACAACCACAAGTATTTAGAAGGGAATAATCTACGAAATAATGTAATCATGTTTTTATATTTGTAAAGATAAAAAATAGACAATTACATTTTGACATGGCTTAATTATTATTATTATTATTATGTATGAGAGTAGAGTGGGCTAAAGATGATGAAAGTGGAAAAGAGAGAATGAAGGTGGTTCAAAGATTCTATATATACCAACTAATAATGCTCTAATTATTGCTGAATACAGTTAAGAATACAAATAAACATGGCTATCTCAATTAATCAGATCATGTGAGATTGTTTGGACCCAACTCATGATCCCACATGCAATGCTTTTCTTTCACTTTTCTTCACATTTATGTGCAGCTTTCACCTCCCACACTGTTATCGATATCCACAATTCAGACACATACTTGTTTTATCTTACATTCTTTCAGTTGTTGTGGTTTATACAAAAACACGATTATCGTATTTTTTTTTATTCAAATGTTTGTGCCTTTTCCTGTGGCATGCTTGAATTCGTTGAGTATCGAGTGAGTTTTAAGGTTGGAATTTTTATGGAAGTTTGACCTATGAATTAGGAAATGATTTGAAATAAAGATTGGTTGGGGGAACCCTAAAAGTAAAAAGAAACAAAAGAAAACTAAAGGGCGTGCACGGGCCATTGCACCAAAACCAACAGACACTTGGTCCCAATCCCATATGCTTTTCTTCTTTGAAACTTCATATAGATTCATACATTTCCTGCAAATTCTACACACAATATAGTTCATTTCATCTTTAAAATCTTTTTTTTTTCATTTAAAAAATATATATTTTTAAATTACTTTTTTTGAAATTTTATTTTAATTTTGTTTCTCCAAAATTAAGAATTCCCAAATCCTTTTATCAAGTGTATGAAGAACAGCAACGTTGAAGTCAACATATCTTTTAGTTTAACTTAATGATTTTCTCTTTAATTAGGTTTGGAACCTTCTTAACACAAATTTATTAACATTTAAACAAAAAAAATATACATTTTTAAAGGGCTAAAAAAAATCATTCAAACTCAAATTCTATTGGTTCACAAGGGTGGTGATTTATACTATTTTTGTAGGGTTAATTATGCCATTATCTTTACAAAAGTTGTGTAAATGTTTTGGCAATAAAATTAATATATGGTTACGGTACTTAATAATTATTTATGGATAATATATGCATATTATTCTTATATATATTTAATTGTTTGCATTGTTGATTTAAAAAATTATATTTCTAAACATGTGTCATTTGTAAAATTTAAAATTATATTAATTATCTTTTTATTTATTATATTTTTTAACTATATTTATTATAGAAAAAATATTAAAAATAATTTTAGATGAAAAATGCATGTTAAAATTATATGAATACTATTTTAAAAACAATAAATTTATTAAAAATAATATTTATTTTAATTTGAGCATCAAACCTAGATATTGATAATATATATTTAGAAATCGAGAAATATAAATAACATTTTTAAATTCTAAAACATGTTTTAGATAAGTTTTTCTATAAACACTTTATATATATAAAATAAAGATTTTTTATATGTTAAAATCACTTTTTTATATAAATTAAGTGGTATATTCTCTCCTCTTAATTTAAACCAAATTTTTTAACCAGTATACATTTATAAAAGATTCAATTTTTGTATTTTCTTATAAATATTTATAAAAATATTTATTTATTTTCTTATAAAAATTATTTATAAAATATTTATTCAAAAGTCCAATCACATATATCAGTTACTTCAACAGGATATTTGAGAGGAAAATACTGTGTAAGTTTTTTTTTTTGTACAGCACATAATTAATATGTATTGCTTTAAAAATTAAAACATTATAATCATGTCAACTTCATATCTCTTTATTTCCTCTATTTGTGGTTTTTATTTTTTGATAATTTCCAATTTAATTATCATTTGTTTTTTAATATAATAACATCGATTCATTTCAATATTATACCGTAAATAAATACTCAAATTGATTTGAGTATTTCATTATTATTCATAAGTAGATGAAAAGGTTACAAACTAATTAATTAGATGAGAAGAAAATTCTTAATATATTAATGATATGTAAAAACAAGTACTATTAAATGTACTTATGAAAATATCTAATCATTGCTTATTTAAATATGTCAGAATTAAGAAGAATAAATTAGAGAAGATTATGATAATATTTTAACAACAAAAATTTTCTATACACTAACTTATTTATCATTTTTATTTGTATAGAATAAATATCTATATATGTAGTTATTTTTTATATAATTAATAATGTGTATATACAATTAAACTTGTAATAAATATACTTGAATGTATAATATATATTTTAAAATTGCAATTAATAGTTTAAATTGGGATACAAAACTATTTTTAATTATTAATCATTTCTTTAACAAATTATACAATTTCATTTAAAAAAATATAAAAATAGATAATAACTATGCAATTAAAAAAATGCAAATAATTAAGATAATAGATAGTAGGTGTTGGTTGTTGTTGTTTGGTCTTGAAATAAAGTCAGATTTTATTATAATTATAACCTTTCTTTCACGGTTTCTTTTATTAAATTGTATATTTATTTTTTATTTTTTAAAATTAAATAGTTTGTAGCCTATATTACTTGGCTATTCATAAATTATTAATTATTAATCAACTTTAAGTAGATGAAAAATTTAACCGTTAAATATTGAAGTATTGTTAATTTAGTTTTCTTTTTAAATAAAAATATTTTAGTATAATCTTAAGTATATATTGTCCTTAATATTATAGCTTAATAATAAAATGATTTCTGATTTACTTAAAAATCTAATAACATGCTAAATTAGCTTATTGGTATTGGTGATAATATATATAGTTATTTTGTCATTCAATTTGTTTAATTTATGTTATAAAATCATGTTACATATTTTATTACTGTATGAATTGATTGTGTTTTTATTTTAAATTATGACTATTATGAAAATATAATTTTATTTACTATTAAATATTTATTATTATAATTTTAAAATTAATATATTTTTATTATTAGTTTAAAATAAATAATGTTGTCGGAAATATAAAAATAAATATTTTATTATAATTTATTTTATGAAAAATAGATAAAGCGATGTAATGAATATAAAAAATAAGTGTATGTTTATATTCATTATATAAAAATATATATTTAATTATAATTTTGGTTCTTATGTTTTATAAAGTTTATAATTTTAGTCTTTATTTTGTTTTTGTAAATTTAAACTTTAGTTTTTAATCATCCATAATTTTAAATTCTAAATATTTTTAACAGAGTTTTGATTTCTTAATTTTAAATTTAGGTAACTTTATTTAATTTTCAGTTTTAAAACTAAAGCTATACTGAATCACTATCAAAATTATCTTTAAGAATAAACCTACAATTATTACTTTTTTATTTAATCTTATAAAAAACCTACACACATCATATTTTTTTCCTTGTCCTCCCATTTTATCATATCCAAAGTAACAAAAAGTTATGAATAATTGAATTAAAAATTGAACATTATTACTAATAATTAAAATTAAGAGATCAAATCACGTAAAAAAAGAAGAAGAAAACAATGGCTATAGATATTAAAATTTGAGAAACAAAAGTTACAGAAAAAATAATATTAACAAAAAATATGCACATTTTATATAATATAGAGATCATAATTATAATAAGTAAAAAAATATTAAATATTAAGATGATAAATATATTTATTTTAATTATACAAATTTATTATCTTAAACTTATAATCAACACACACAATTTGCTATGTACACCAACATGTTAGTATATCATATTAATGAGTGTATTTGGTATCATATGTCAACATTGATCATTACTTTTGGTGACATGAATTATAGCTGATTAAGAAGAAAGTGGTAGCTTCTTTGAGTTAATGTGAGGATGGAATGGTGGTTCCCATGGCTCAGCTTCTTCTGAGTGAAAAACAAAAGAAGAAAAAAAGGTTGGAATTGTATTATAGGGACCAAATTAAAAATATTTATGAAAGAACAAACAAAAATTAAACCCCAAACGTTTTATTCATATAAAATAAAACTTTAATAAATTAAACTATATATTTAATAGAAATTTAACAATTTATATAATCTTGTCCCTTATGGTAGAAAATGATTGCTAATTAGAAGGCAAAAAAGTGTAATAAACGCGTGCTAGCTTTCCTTCCAAGAATGACGCAGAAAGAAAACTGTGGAGGGAGAGAGGAATAAGATATGTCTATATAAACCCTATTGTAGCCTCAGACTTTCACAACACCTTCATCTTTCCCTCGTTGAAACACAGAAAATGGGTTCTTCTTTGTGGACTTTGTGTCTTGTTTTGGTTTCACTAGCCTCTTCTGCACTCTGTGCCAACCCACGGAGCCCAGTGGATGTTCCATTTGGCCGAAACTACGTTCCCACATGGGCTTTTGATCACATCAAATACTTCAATGGTGGTTCTGAGATTCAGCTTCATCTTGACAAGTACACTGGTATGTAATATATAAACAAAGTTCAGGATAACTAACTATCCCTGATTATCTATTTAGTTGTAGTAAAGTTGGTTGATTTTCATGTTGATTCATGCAATTCTGAACAGGCACTGGCTTCCAGTCCAAAGGGTCGTATTTGTTTGGTCACTTCAGCATGAACATAAAGATGGTTCCTGGTGATTCTGCTGGCACAGTCACTGCTTTCTATGTATGCACAACTTTTTAAACTTTCTTAAGTAAAAAGTAAACAATTTTGTAGTAATAATGCATTCTACCTAGATTATATATATGGATTGTGTATAGCTTCTCCAATTTTTGTTTCAACCTTGTTGATGGCGATGATTGGAACCTGCAGTTATCATCTCAAAACGCGGAGCACGATGAGATAGACTTTGAGTTCTTGGGGAACAGAACAGGACAACCTTACATTTTGCAGACAAATGTGTTCACTGGAGGCAAGGGTGACAGAGAGCAAAGAATCTATCTCTGGTTTGATCCCACAAAAGCATACCACAGATACTCTGTGCTATGGAACATGTATCAGATTGTGTAAGTACTCAAACAAAAAATTCCAATTCTATTTTGAGATAGAAAAGTAGCAAAAACACACACACATATATGTTTGATAACATAGATAAACTTGTGGGTTACATGCACAGGTTCCTAGTGGATAACATCCCAATCAGGGTGTTCAAGAACCTGAAGGAGTTGGGAGTGAAGTTCCCCTTTGACCAACCCATGAAGGTATACAACAGTTTGTGGAATGCTGATGATTGGGCCACAAGGGGTGGTTTGGAGAAAACAGACTGGTCAAAAGCTCCTTTCGTGGCGGAGTACAAGGGTTTCCACATCGACGGGTGTGAGGCCTCAGTGAATGCTAGGTTCTGTGACACACAGGGCAAGAGATGGTGGGATCAAACAGAGTTTCATGACCTTGATGGTTTTCAGTGGAGAAGACTCAAATGGGTGCGCCAGAAATTCACCATCTACAACTACTGCACTGACAGAACCCGTTACCCTCAGCTTCCACCAGAATGCAGAAGAAACCGTGACATTTAAATTTCCATTTACTATTTTTATGGCTTCGTTTCTCATTGCATTCATCATTTACCAATCACCATACTCTATTCCTACCATTATTTATTACAGTTGTATTGTTTCAGTTGTGTAATCAAGGCGTGGGTTTGAATACAGAGGGAAAACTCTGATAAAACTATTTATATGTAATTCTATTCTTATCCGTGGCACCACCAATAATCCAATATTGAATTCTCATGATTGTACTTAACGCATGGTCTGTTCCTTAATGGTAGCAACAACAGCTTGTTGCTGCATTTATTTCCGATCTCGAGGTCTATTTCTGGTTATTTTAATTTGGTCCTTTTAGTAGAAGGTGAATATCCATTTTCATTAATAAATTTCTATCAGTTAAATAATAACTTCTTCTTTTACATGTGATATTCAATCAGATGCATGCCATAATTGATTAATTGCCTCAAAATCTCCTTTTTTTTAAGCCAAAAGCGACTTTCTAACGCTAAGATACAACAGTTATCTATAATCTCATTCTTCTGATCTCTATTCATTGTAAACCAAACAGTCTCGCAATAAAATTCAATGTTATTTCTTTTTAACTTGACTTCTATTTCTGGCAAAACAACTATTTTAAACAATATTTTTTCTCTATTTCTTTCTTCATTTCTCTCTCCTATTTCCCTTCCTCCCATTTCTTTCTCTCCTATTGACTAAGACTAGTCAATATATAAGAGCTTTTTTGTAATTTATTTAAAATATATTTTACTTAATTTATTTTTAACTTTTATTCTTCTTAGAAAAAAGGGACAATTAGGTCCAAACAGCATTTATTTAAAAGGTTTCTATAATTTTTTTTATGATTTTTCTCATTTTTCAAAGGATCATGTGTGTTCATATTGAACTTATTTGGTGTCTGTCAATAGTATTCTCACACTACCATAAGAAAAAGGTTGAAACTAATGTAACACTATAACCACTAGAATAAGCAGAGAATGAAAATTTTTTGTTGTATCTTCAAGTCTGCTTTTAAAAAGAAGGTAGAATCAGTCTGACATTATAATTTTTTTAAATATAATTAAATTGAATATAGAAAAATTTGCTATAAAATCTACCAGTGTACTATGTTAAATAAAAATAAGAAAGTTAAATATACATAATTTAATACTTTAAAGGTTTTTTAAGTCAAAAATTATATCAATATCTTATATCGATAAAACTTATGTATCATTAGTAATGTATTTTCTCTCTTGAAAAGATCCATCAGAAATTTAATAAAATATTTCTATTCTACTCTTTTTCTTTTCTATTCTTTTAATCATATAATTTTCAAGGTAAATATTTATATTTTAAAAATTAATATATATATATATATATATATATAATTTATTAAAATAAAAGGTATAATAAAAATAACAAACACACGTGGATGAACATGTGTATTTCTATTAATAAATATAAAAAAAATTGGGGTAATTTGACTTTCTTTAATACTCCTAAATTATTATTATATTATAATGACAAGTAATATATATATGACAATACTCATCTTACTTAATTTGTATTTTTATTATGATACATAGACTAACAAGTATTTTTTGTAAGATCTTTTATTTCTAGTATGATGTATCTCCTTTTAAGCTGAAATATTGTATTTTCTAAGTTGGGATATCTACTACCATATGTTTGATGAAATGTATCATGTAGAACATGAAGTCAAATGAGTAAGAAGAGGTAATAAATGCATATACACTTAAGTCTTTGCATATTTATACTATTTTAATGAACTTTACTTCAATTAACCATTATTAAGTAATTATTAAATTGATTGAGACATTATTATTACTATTTTAATGAATTTTTACATAAATGAACCCTTATTAAGTAATTATTACATTCATTGAAACACTATTATTTAATTAGTTCTTTATGCATAAACTAGATTTACATTCAACATATATTATAAATCATTTATCATTTTTTATATATTTTATTATTGTTTATTTCTATATTTAATGATAACCTAGTATAAAGGAAACGTTTTAAAGTGTTAAGTTTTTAAAATAAAGTGAAAATACAATTAGTATTATTGCATTAAGAGTCAACAACGACTATTAAAAATATGTATGATGAATTTTAATATGTTATTGATGAAGACATTATATGTTAAGATTTTTTGACGACGAGTGTAAATTATCGTCATAAATAATAAATAAAAAAATTGTTTGCATTGAGGGAAGAAAATTGAAACACAAATTGTTAATATGGATTTGTATAAATTGTAAGGAAATATGATAAATAGTCAAAATAAAGATAATAAATTGTTGACTTTTAAAACAGGACATAGAGTGGTAACTTGAATACAAATTAAGGTAAAACAATGAAAGCACAAATAGTGAATAAAACAAACTTACAATGAGAAGTTAGACATTCATAATTATCTTACAACGAATTATTGATTCTTTTAATGAATAAATAAAAAGAATAATCCACTCTATCATATAAGGCAATGAAGCTGTATACACCAAACTTATCATTTATTTTTTTACCAAAAAACTCACATTGTTTTGTTACCAAAATCTTATCTCATCATTTTTCTCAATTAAAATAATTACAAAAATGATGTAAATATAATGCAAAAATATTTAAAAGATATGAAGGGTACCTCTTTGATTTGCAATGAGCCACCCCAAGGAGAGATTGTTATTATCAAGTGTGATGAAATAGTTGTAAAATCACGAAGTGATCTACAAAAAATAGCCTAAAATGCATGCGAAAATTTATCATTATTGTTAACAACAATACTCTAATCTGAAAACGATTGATGATTAGGCAGATTAGCTAGCAGTCAATTAAAATAAACGCGTAATAGTGTCTCTCTATTAGTTGTTTCCAACACCAAATCCAAACTAAAGCAAATGCATGATTTTTTGTCTTCACCTCTCTCTCATCCTGACATGAAAACAAATCTTAGATATATCATTAATCATTATTATATCTATAAATTTTTATTTTCTTTTAAATGATGGACCATGTATTATTGAATTAACATAAGCTTATATTCTATTTACAAAGCAAGAAAGTAGAGGGAAATAGAGAGGAACATGGGTGTTGGGTAGGGTGTGTAATGCTTATATATACCCTTTTGCAAGCCACTAGCTTTCACAAACTGAGAAACACAGAAAATGGGTTCACTATGGACCGTGTGTCTGATATTGGCATCACTGGCCTCTGCAGCACTCTGTGCGAACCCTAGGAGGCCCGTGGATGTACAATTTGGCCGAAACTATGTCCCTACATGGGCTTTTGATCACATCAAATACTTCAATGGTGGTTCTGAGATTCAGCTTCATCTTGACAAATACACTGGTAAGTGTAATTTCACCAAAATAGTTTTAACTTTCTTACTTTTGAGTTCAAGTTATGTGTTCATGCTCAAACTTCAAGATACGAACTTTGTATTTGTAAACACTATCTCAGTTATTTGAAATGGGAGATTTGAATCATATAACAATGTTCCACACAACGTTGTACAGGTACTGGCTTTCAGTCCAAGGGGTCATACTTGTTTGGTCATTTCAGTATGTACATAAAGATGGTTCCTGGAGATTCAGCTGGCACAGTCACTGCTTTCTATGTAAGAACAAAATGAAAAAAAAAAAAAACAGTTTCGATTTACTTAGTCTCTATGTGGAGTACGTGAATGTGACCTTTGTTATGGTTGGAACCTGCAGTTATCTTCTCAAAACGCGGAGCACGATGAGATAGACTTTGAGTTCTTGGGGAACAGAACAGGACAACCTTACATTTTGCAGACAAATGTGTTCACCGGAGGCAAGGGTGACAGAGAGCAAAGAATCTATCTCTGGTTTGATCCCACCAAAGCATACCACAGATACTCTATTCTCTGGAACTTGTATCAGATTGTGTAAGCACTTCACTTCACTCAACTCTTCCATACCCTTTTCAGTTCTCACCATTTCTTGCGAATCTCTTACCAAGATAATACAGTAGAAAGTAATTCTTTGTTGAGATGAGATAGTTTTCGAAGAAAAAAAATATCAACATTAATTCCACAAGGCGTAATAGTAGTCACTATTTTCCACCATTGGTAAGATATGATCATACTTGAAAAAACTAGACTGAACCCAAATTTTAAGATGATTAAATATTGGGGTATAAAAGCAAAGAGTGTAACGTGGATAATGAGAAATATCGAAATGTGGGGGTGTGCAGGTTCTTTGTGGACGATGTGCCAATCAGGGTGTTCAAGAACAGCAAGGACTTGGGAGTGAAGTTCCCGTTCGACCAACCGATGAAGATATACAACAGTTTGTGGAACGCTGATGACTGGGCAACAAGGGGTGGTTTGGAGAAAACAGACTGGTCCAAAGCTCCTTTCATAGCAGCCTACAAAGGTTTCCACATCGACGGGTGTGAGGCCTCGGTGAACGCCAAGTTCTGCGAATCACAGGGCAAGAGATGGTGGGACCAACCAGAGTTCCGTGACCTTGACGCTGCCCAATGGCAAAGACTCAAATGGGTGCGCCAGAAATTCACCATCTACAACTACTGCACTGACAGAAAACGCTACCCTCAACTTCCCCCTGAATGCAGAAGAGACGGTGACATTTAAATTTTCACCCACCTCTTCCTATTATCATCATTGTTACCAACTTACCATTTATTTTCACCACATAATTCTATCACCGTGCCACTTTGTTGTCACTTCTATGTACAATTTTATATCATGTGAGTTTCCACTTTCATTTATGAATTAAAACTGCTATTCAGATAAAAATGAACGAATGAATACAGTTTTTTAATCCTCTCAAGTCCAACCACATGTTGCTGCTATTATTATGTTCTTGCTTTATTGTATTGGTTCTGTGGTAATAATAATGCCATCGTTGCAGAGCCAGTTGTATTATGTAGAGATCTGTGTTCCTTTTTCTGGTTTTTGGGTGAATCATATAGATCTGCGATGTGATCCTCTGGTCCCGGAAATGACAAAGTAAAAAGTGGTGCTATTGAATATTGTGTCGCGGAATCACTGGCCCCGAAACGTGGCACCACTGGGCGCTCCCCATGTGAACCGCATATGAGAACTGTTGCAGTAAATATTTTAACCAAAATTTCTTTTTTTTACTAATCATTAATACAAATACAAATATTAATAATATTTAATAAAAACAAAGAAATAAATCTAAAACCAACAATTTCTTTTACTAGTTTTGACTAGATTCAAAGGCTGTCTGGAGCATCATTATTCGATGTTTAACGTGGTTTGCTTGCGCTTTGGCACGTGGGCATATATACATTTTTAATGTGCATTATGACTGAAGCATTAGCTAGGGTAAATAAAATTAAGATTTTAAACTGTCACTGTAGCTTTTTGAAACTTTCAATTTTTAAAGGGTCGGCGAAGTTGTAACTGCTATAGGATACAATTTTAAAACTTTTAAGGAAAAAAAAAAGGAGAAAAAATTGGTAAATATTATTTTTCGAATTTAATTTAATTTTTACAACTTTTGCACAGTGTGTCCTATTGATCTTTGTGATGATGGGGTGAAGTTTGATTGGGTAGATGAGAATTAGGAAATTAGTTAGAATGGGAAATGTTGACACAGTACCCATAAGTCTGGCACAACAACACTGTTTCTAGCAGCGACAACTGTTTGACGAGGAGATGAAAAGTGACGTTACAACACCAGGTAATGAAGGTTATTATTGTTGGTGGGAAGTAGGTTAAATTTGAAACAAGTTTTGAAATTAAATTTTATAAATAAAACTACAATGCAAAAAATGATCTTTGAAATTATCAATAAATATATATATATATATATATATATATATATATATACTTATAAAAAACAAAAATAAAACAAAGCACGTGATCGCGGAATTATCTTTGAAAATTAGATTGGTGAAGAATGATATTCAAACATGGTGGACCATGGTTTCCTTGGACAGTCTACGCGCCCACCACTTTTTGACCTTTCTTAAAAAGTTCATTGTAAACAACGCAAATAACCAAAAATCTTCAATTTTATGCACTTCACATTTCTAGTGTCTTATGTCAAATTATTTCAATCTGTCGGTGCGTTAAGACCAAAATTTGTAATGACATGTTTCTTGGTATTGAGTATACCAAACAAAAATGAAAGTTGTATTAATTTATTTTAGTATTTAATCACAATATTTTGTGCATGGTTATAAAATAACAGATATAAAAGGTAGGAACTCTAGTGGATACGAACACTTTGGTTATTTATTGTCCTCTTGAATGTGTGTGATCATGTTTTGGATAATGCATCTCTCACAATGAAACTATGACCTCATGCTGGTTATTGTTATTTATACAACACAAAATTACTATATAATTTACAAGAAGAGAGAGAGAGAGAGAGAAAAATGCAGGAATGTTATGAAAAAGAGATGAAAAAAGTGACTTAAAAAGTGTAGTAAGAGATTAATGTAAGTAAAGATTTTTTTTTGTTATTATTAAATAATTTTTCTTCATACTTTACTCCCAAATTTTTAATAAGTATTTCTTTTTTTCTTAACGTAACTCTCTCTGCCACTTGGTGATGTGTAAAAAGAAAAAATTATTTTTTAATTACATCATTTTCTAGTGTTATTCGGACATTGGCCCGTGGGCTTGGAATGATCTATGAATTTTCTCATCATTTTTGGACTTACAAGCCCTTCTGGCTATATATATTCAAAGGTCATAGCTATGTTTCTTCTCACTCGGATATAACTGTAGTCAAGTCAACTAGGATTATAGGTTACTATTGTTTTAAACAATAATTATAAGAAGATAAAATAACTTTTATATAACATGTTAATAAAATATTTGTAATTACTGTTAACTAAAATAATTTTTGTATCATAAAACATATCAAAATATAATTTGTAATAATTAAAAAAAAATAGTATGTCAGTTGTAATAATCAACAAGAGCTAAAATCAAGGATGTTTCGTTGTACATAAAATATTAATTTGGATATTTACAATACACACTGTATTAAATTTTTATTTGTAATTTATCATTTATAAGAGAATCAGTATTATACAATAGTTAATTAATTCATTTTTATAACATTAACTTGAAATTAAGATATTATTACATGTGTACTTTATTATCTACACTAATTGGGAACAGTGAAATAGGCAACAAAATTAAGTTATTTAAATCCAATAGAGTATAATGACATAGAACCAAATACCCATTGCTAACTTTTTTAAATAAAAATTAGAAAAAATAAAATTGATTTTGTTTTATTTTAAAAAGCAAGAGTAAAGAAGTGGCGAAAAAAGATGGTTCAACAAATTCATGAATGCATATTTTAGGTAACATTTAGTGTTCTAATAAAAATGCAGAGATGAAACGTTAGAAGATTCCAATAAGAATAGTTTAGATTGGACACAAATAAGGTTAAATATGCTGAAAATTTTCAGATTGATTTGTTCTCAGAGGATGGTGATAATTTTGTATATGATTATCTGATATTGCTTAACATGCAATAATTATCCATGTTCTTGGTTACCCGAGGCCTAGCATCACTAACATTCAGATTTCAAGGTAAGAATTTTATTGCACAATGAGAAGGCAGAGAAAATTGATGGTTCTGTTTCTCAGTAGTTGTTTAGAAGGAAAAATGAAGCAAGGAGTATTGTAGTAGTAGTGGTGAGCATACAAAATTACAATGGCATGGTACATAAATGATTACCAATGAGTTTTCATCACTTCCATTTGTTGGCAACAATGTCAGCCAAATCCACAACCCTTTGGGAGTATCCCCACTCATTGTCATACCAGGCAATCACCTTCACCATGTCATCTCCCATGACCATGGTCAACGAGGAGTCAACGGTTGAGGACACATCAGTGCACCTGAAGTCAACAGACACAAGGGGCTCATCACAGACTGAGAGGATTCCCGTCAGCTCCTTCTCTGCACTCTCTCTGAAGGCTGCATTCACTTCTTCTGCAAAGGTCTTCTTTGAGACCTGAACAACAAGGTCCACCACTGAGACGTTTGGGGTTGGCACACGCAGTGCAATGCCATTGAGTTTGCCTTTGAGGGTTGGCAGCACAAGGGCCACTGCCTTTGCTGCTCCTGTTGAAGTGGGGACAATGTTCAGAGCTGCTGCCCTAGCACGCCTCAGGTCACGGTGGCTAGCATCAAGAAGCCTCTGGTCACCAGTGTAGGAATGAGTGGTAGTCATGGTGCCCTTGATGATACCTGTCATGGATTGTCAGTTTCCATTGCCATTGTGGACAATGTGATCTTTAAAACATCTAAACCTTCTTCACTTTAGTCTCTAATACTGCATGCAAAGTCATTCTAGTTTTCATGCTAAAACCAGGATATATTTCCATTCAGAATCAAAACTAATGCTGACTTCTCTCAACAGATGTTATTCCATACATATGACTTGACAATCCACCTTTGATTATGTCCTTAAGACTATGTATTAACCATATGACCTCATGTTGATTCATTTGAGTTTTTAGTTGCAACAAAAATTTATTTTAATATATGATTTCAGTTATTGAGGTGAGAGTTGAGTTGTTTTGTTTTGAAATTCATGGATGGGGAATGAATTTGACAGAAAATGTGGTGACAAGGCACATTACCGAATTTCTGGTCAAGAACCTTGACAAAGGGTGCAAGGCAGTTAGTAGTGCAAGAGGCATTGCTGATGATGGGTTCATCTGGGCTGTAATCATATTCGTTGACACCAACCACGTAGGTGGGGATGTCTCCTTTGCCAGGGGCTGTGATGAGCACCTTCTTAGCTCCTGCTTGAATGTGTTTTCCAGCACCTTCTCTGTCCACAAACACCCCAGTTCCTTCAATCACCAGGTCTATCCCCAACTCCCTGCAATAATAGCGCATAGTCACCATCATGCGTGTCACTCTCTTCTCTATACAAAACAACTTTCTTCAAAATTTTAGTAAACTAGGAAAATGTTTGAATACAAATCAGATAGGCTTTTGACAGCTTCTCTACTAGAAATATAGATTTCTTTTTTACCCTAGAGAAACTTTAAAAAGTACTTCTAACTTTGTATCCAAACAGACCCCAATTGCATGGAACTGAAAAACAAGCTTACTTCCAGGGAAGGTTGGCAGGGTTGCGGTCAGAGACAACTTTGATTTCTTTTCCATCAACAGAGATGACATCACTCCCCACAGGCTTGACATCAGCATCGAAGGTTCCAAGGATGGAATCATACTTGAGAAGATGAGAGGCTTGTTTCACACCACCAGTGTCATTGATGGCAATGACATCAAGAGGGGACTCTTTACGACCGTGCCAGCACCTCAAGAAGTTCCTTCCAATCCTTCCAAACCCGTTTATGGCAACCTTCAGTTTTGCTTCTACTACACCCTTCTTGTATCCTCCACTACTTCCAACCTTCAAAAGTTCACATACATCCAACATTGTTAAACACATCATTCAACTTTTCTTTTCAAATTAACACTTTGATATTATCATGTATAATTAACAATCATTGGTTCACCCCGGTGTTTCCTTTCCCTGTTTCTTTCTATATTCAAATGCTGAAAGGTCTAGTTCAAACTGTGGTAGTTTAAAGCAAGAACATGTACAGAATGGTGATCACGAATTGAAGTGTGTGTTTTTGGTTCAGATACATTAATGTGGTATAACAACTACTAAAAGACCTTGCTTCTAGCAGTAAAATGGAAATAATAGATTTTGCATGTACCGTCTGAAAAATTTGGTCTTGTTACATAATTCTGGAAGTATATCTACGTGATAAGTTCTTGTATATGATTGTATATCTATATATTCACTTACGTAGTATTTTTACTTTACAATAAAATTAGACATTCATTAATGGAGTAAGGAACTTACTGCATAGGTCTGGAAGGAAATGACAGAATGGAAATCCTCTGAAGTTTTCCTGGACAAGGGAAGGTAGCTTGATGAACTTCGAAGACCAGAGAACTCAGAGAAGCCTTTCCCATTTGCCTGAATAGACCAAGGAATGGAAAACTACTGTAAACAACAACCTTTGCACAATATGACACCACAACTAACAGAACTTTCTTTCTAAGGGTGCATGAAAATGAAACTCAAATGAATAACTTGTTGAACCTGAAGAGCAGGTTTGGCTACAGAGAGAGTAGCCGAAGCCATGTTTCAGCACTGAATTTCGTGGAGCAGAAGGTGAAGCAGTAGAGTAGAGCCTTGTGCGAGAAACTAGAATTTGAGGTTCCATGTTGTTATGTCTCGTAAAGATTAATAGGAAACCAAGAGGAGGCAACGTGGATGTGTGGCTGTGACTCCTGAGCCTAAGTGAGGATGAGATTATGGATAGCCTCTCATCCAATGAATGGTTGTGATTGGTGCATTATTTTTGTGCTTCTAAGTTCGATTCAATAATATTTCTCGCTTATTCTACTATATATTGATGGTTGGATCTGAACCTTGAGTCCAAAGTGGACCAGGTTATGGGCTTTCCACTTACATCAGTGGACAAAAATATTCACTCAAATTCTACCCTCTTGAAGAAAAGATTTATTTTTTCAGAGTACAAAACTTGAAAGAAAAATATCAAGGTTGAATTTTGTGGGCAACAAGAGACACCCACACATAGAGTAACGACAGATACATATACGTGAGAGGGGATACGAATGGATAAATGAAGTTTATGGCCATTCTTTCACTTGGGTTCTTCTGCATTGGATCAATACTTCCTCGTAATTTGGATCCAACTTGGTTGTTCCAGGAATTATGTTTATGCAATAAATTTATATAATATCTTATAACAAAGTCAGATAAAAGAAAGGAATATAAATGTGTGATAAGATATTATTGATATGATGGAAAGACACACGGATGTGTTGTTTAAACCAAATGTTTGTATTATGCTTTAATTACTTGTTTAATTTTGTATCCATATATAATCTCTATGGTTAAATATATATATATATATATATATATATATATATATATATATATATATATATATATATATATATATATATATATATATATATATATATAAATGAGTTGTTGTAGAAATATATTTTAAGAATGTGAATTATATGAATTATATATAAGTAATTAATGAATTTTTATCGTAGATATATTAAGATTAGAATAAATCAGAATATAACATTATATTAAAAAAAATTAAATATTAAATTACAAATATTTTTTACTTATAATTTTTTTGTTTAATGTGTAATTTTAACATTAATAAAGCTTTTCTTTGAGTGAAACGTAGCAACATTTATGCTGCATTTTAGAAAATTTTGTTGATGCGTGGTTGGCATTCAGAAAGGATTTGCATAGCCAGTGAAAATAAACACGCGAGGGTAACATAATATTGACCAAATCTTTTCATTTGGTTACAAAGTCATGACAAAATATTTATGTTATCATGTAAGAGGCATTCCAAAAGATAAAAGATGAGTTCATTGATACCTTCAGTTCCCTCAACTTGGTTGCACAGTGTAAAAATGCAGCTGGGACAAAGAAGAAAATGTTGAAACAAAGGACAAAGGAATCTGATATAGCTGATCTTGATGATCAGACGGGAGGACAGATTCTAAGCTGAAGAATTTTGACTGATATAGAGTCTTTACATATTTTGGTTGAGGAGTGAGAAAAAGGGTATGAAGTGAGAAAACAAGGATTGCACTAAATGTCAAATAAAGATAAAAAGGAACCGAACATGACCAGAAGTGCTTTTTGAAAAATGGGAGGATCCTTCTGTAGAAGTGAATGTCTGTCATGGTGTTCATCCTTGGATGAACGAGGCTATATGCTAATATGAAAACTCATCTCATGCTTAGTCTGGTGCAGTTGCAGCTCCTGTAGTGTAAAATCTTCACATGCTGCCTCTTCCGGGTGAGTCGACACGAGTCCACCTCATATAAAATATTGACACTATTTTTAATAAAAAAATTTAAAGCATTATTAATCCTTCTTCCTTATAGCTTTTGTGGTGAAGAATACTAAAGCCACTGATCTTTTGGCCAACAGAGGAAGCAGGGTGATTATGTTGGTGACAAGAACACCATTGGATGTCAAGTTATGTGAAATCTAGATCCAACCAGTGCATATGAAATTGGCATCATCTATTATTGTAGGTTGTCTACATTTATTTATTTTCTTTCGTTAATAGGAACTAAAAAACCATGAACGATGATGATGATGCAATCCAGAAGTATACACCCGTCAATATTCTTAACTCCACAAATAGAATCCTTTTTTAAGTATGATGTCAGAAAGGTACACCCCTTAATATTCTCAAATCCACAAAAAGGATCCTTTCAACTATGTTCATATTTCAGAAGTATAATATTTGTTTTTGTTAGATTGATTTAGTTTTTCATCCAGTCAATCACGACGTTGATACGCAAGTCAATGAAGATTATGTGGACAAGAAGAGAGATAGGAGTATGCTTAACTACAATCATCTACCTATATCGTCATCTACGAGTAGATATCATTACAAAAATTTGCATCATACCAAGTTTGTGGAGGGTAACAAGTGGTTGATTAAATAGTAAAAAATGAGCCTGCCAAGTCGTGGCTATTAACAACTCCACTGCCATTAAAATGATTCAAATGGAGCCCACCAATGAATTAATGCTGCAATTTGACAGGTATAATAGATATAAAAAAAAATGGTATTGGTTTGATTTGTTTGAACTGAGGCATTCAATATATTTCCATTCAATATACTTTATTAAACTAATTGTCAATGCAGATCTCACGGCTACGTCCAAAATCCATCATTTCATAAACCTCTAAGCGTAATTGTTTGCAATTATGCTTAGTTAAATGAAGTTGCAATCAATGGTTCTTGCTTATATCAGTTCATTTCTTTCAATTATTCTGCTAGGGAGTCAACAAAGGATTATTTCTTCCAATAACGTTTTCTTTAATCCGAAATAGAACACGCTATTGTCTACAAAAAAAAGTCTTCCAATGAAATTACAATTGATCTTGAGATGTGAAATTGGGGTTTCCTGCGTCCCTTAACAGTCTTAGGAAAATGGACAAGATAATTTTATCCTCTTTGCTTTCTTTGATTTATACTCTTCGGTAGAATCAAGATGTCCCATCTATTATCTTGTTTTATTTTTTTTTTTCAAAACAAAACAAACAAAATAAAAATCTTACGTTTTTATTCCGTTGCATTCTAACACATCACCCAACATTTCCCGTTAGTTTATATAATGTAATTGGATTTTATTTTTATTTTTTTAAACATTTTTTTCCAACTATAATCCGCTCTAAACATACACTAATCACCATTTCCATTGAAGATATCCTGATCAAATATTCTTCGAATTGAGGGTCAGTTTATAAGGGTCATATATAATAAAATGCTGCTCAAATTAACTTATTAGATCAGTTTAGCACAAGATTTGAAATTGAAAATCTAACAGCCATCAACATCCAGTCCTATTGTGAAAAAGGAAACTTATCAGGTTTGACCATCTTGGACAGAATTCTTAACGATCGGCATAGACATCTTTTCAAGCACAATGCAACTTACCAGATGAGTTATTTAACATAATTTACAACAATCAATTTTTTTCACCATGCTGTTTATCTTTCATGTACACACAAATACAATAACAATAATTTCTCTAATTAAAAAAGAAAATTTCCTGTAACGATTGCTTGAGTGCAAACGGCTTCCAATAGTCTTTTATATCTGTAGTTGCTAACAATCACAGTTTGCCTGGTGTCACTGAGAGGAATTGGACATTTTTCATATAGGTACAGAAGAGGAAAGAAGTTCATTGGTTTAGATGCGTCCATCCCTTTTGATAATAACGGAACCAAAATCCCGGGGAAGAACAATATTGTTGTAGTTTTGGGGCATGATGAATGTTAAAATTCTGAACTGAAACTATTGATCTCGTGTTAGTCAGACATGCATGCATCTTAAATCAGTGGGTATTATCCGATGTTCACAAGGGAGTTTTATAAATTGAAGGGTTTTGTCATTCAGTGCTTTAACCTCTCTTTTGTTTTAGATAATAATAATGTCTAATGTTATGTGGCTTCTCTAAAGTCTAAAGTCTAAACTCTAACTTCACCTTCAATGACCTTAAGCATAGAGCACATAAAGGAAAGCTAGGAATCCAATAGCAGAACCATGGTCAGATGAAAGGAAACGAACATAGCACAATGTAAAGATAAAAGAAAAGAAAGGGAATCAGTACCACAGAGTCCACTTTGTACTCCAATGACACCACTCTTGGATCAGTCTTCTCTTAATTAGGGCATCCCATAAAGATTAAACAATAAAGATATCAGAGCATGCCCACACACAAATGCACCCATCAATCAAACAAGCCAACACCAAACAGCTAATGCAAAAAATACCAACTAGAACCAAGCCTTTTCCCTCGGTTACCATGATCCTTTTGCCATCAAAAGGCATCAAAACCCAAACAACAAATAGTCAATGTCAAACACATAACACAATCAATGTGCGCATCATAAGCTAAATTCTTTAAGTTCAGGAGTCACCGTTAAACATTTACATACCAGGCCATTTCCTAGTGAACAAGAATGCGACAAACAACATCAAGGTTTTCGAATCTCTGAAGCCAAATTTGTCTACAATTTCCTTCGATTTCAAAAATTGCAAGGAAACTGCTAAAGTTTAGAAACTTATGGACAAATGCAGCCGCAGATAACCTAAAACATTGATGTTGAGGCCAAAATTTTTCACAGACTAACTTGGAAGAAATACACTAAGCTTTGTATTACGCACTAAACCCTAAAGAAAACTACTCCGGTTTAAAAGCAAGAAATCATCATCAAGGTTAACATCGGTTTCAACAATAAAAGGAACAGCAATGGAAGTGTGGTTTCAAGTCTAAAGTATCCCCAATTCCGGTTTGCACATAGAGGGAACATAAGGGAAGAGAAGAGGAATAATAAAACTCAAACCCTAAGAATCTGAAGCTTAGTGGAGAACGCAATGGCGACCCAATCAGGCTGCGAAGACGACCACTGCAGCTGCTCAATCTCCGCGCCAGCAGTGTACGCAAGAATCGGGTCAAGCCCGCCCTCCACGGGTTGACCCATGGACGACAAATCCCAAATCAGCGCCTGAGAATCATCCCCGGCGGTGCATATATGGCAGGAGCTATGGGGGGCCCACGCAATGGCGTTGACGCTGGCCTGGTGCCGCTGCAGCTCCACCACAGGGAGCGTGGGGAAGCGAATATCCAGCACCACCACCTTGGCGCTGTCCATGATAATCGTGGCCATGTACCTCGGGTCCTGCTTGTTCCAACCGAGCCGAACCAGAGGAGTATCCGGTTCAGAGCTCTCGTAGATTATCGTGGAGTGCTCCTTGTCACGGAGATCGAAAACCCTAACGGAGCCATCAGCGGAGACGGAGGCGAAGACGCCGACACCGCCCCACGCGATATCGTAAACCTCCTTATCGTGCGCGATTAACTGCGTGTCGACGGTTTCCTTCTCGATGTCCCAGATGGTGCAGGTGGTGTCGATGCTGGAGGTGCCTATGCGGCGGGGCTCGGCCTCGTTCCAGTCGAAAGAGGTGAGGGGCCCACAGTACTCGCTGTTTTTGTTTCCGTTGAGGAGGGACTTTAGTTCGACGGCGCGGGGGGAAGATTCGGCGTCGGTGTCGGCGATGCGCCAGACGCGGAGGAAGTCAGAGGAGGTGGCGAGGAGGTCGGGGCGGTGGCAGTCCTTGTCGGGGATGAAGATGGCCTTGGTAGGAGGGTAAGGGTGCTCGAAGGAGAGATTGGGGTCGGAGCGGATCTCGCCGTTGGAGTCGTCGAGCTGGACGATCTCGACACGGTTAGGGTACTGCTCGAGGAGGGAGGCGATGGCGAGGCGGTACTTCTTATCGCGGCGGACGCTCCAGTTCATGGCGTAGATGTGCCAAGGCGCCTCGTAGGTGTAGATCTCCGACCGCTTCTGCTGCTCGTCCGACCCGTCTTGAGTCGGGTCGCTGCTCGCGCCCATTGTTGCTCTCGCACTACACACAGTCGACGAGTGAATCAACCAAGAATCGCAGCTCCGTGAAATTATGCGGATGGGAAAGAAAGGAATCGGTAATAGGTGTTGTTATTTATTTATTTATTTATATATTATGTTTATATTATTTTATCCTTAGTGGATAAGTTAAACCAAGGTATACAAAATCGTGAAATTTTTTCTACAGTGACACCTATTTATTTTTTTAATTAGTCAAATAGTATATTGTATATTTTATTTACCAATATAGCACGCTTTTTTAAGTTAAAAATTTGATTTTTTGAAAGAAAAAATCTGAATTTAGATTTATATATATTTTTTTAAACAAGTTAAAATTCGATTTCGTTAACCGCTGAACTAATTTTTTTTATTTTGTTAAAAAGAAAAACTAACTAATATATATAGTTATAATGTTTTATTTAAAATTTATAGAATTAAATTAAAATTTTAAAAATATTTATATATTTTTTAAATTAATAATATATTTAGATTTATTGTTAAAAATAGTAAAATAATACTTTTAAAATATATTATTAAATATTATATTTATATTTTATTTGTATGGTTAATTTTTTTAATTTTTTTATTTATTTGATATTATAATATTTTTTTTAGAAATGAATAATAAACTAGGAGGATAATAAAAATCTTAAAAATTATATATATATATATATATATATATATATATATATATATATATAAAAGATAAAATAATATTTTGATGTAAAATTATATTTTTGAAATGTAATTTATTTTGTGTGTTTTGTAATATTTTGAAAGTATGTTTTATATTATAAAAATAAAAATAAGTTATATTTTGGAATATATATATGTATTAAATTTATATAAGATATATAATTTATTTAATATTAAAATAGTTATATTTTTATTAATTTTATAATTATAAAATTGTTTAAGGTTATAATTTTAAATTTAATATTTTTTAACTTTATATTTATAATTTATATAATATATATAATTTATAAATAATGATCTTTTTAATTTTAATTTAATATATATTTTTATTTATAATTATTTAATGTATATTTAAAAAAGTAACTGATTATTTAAAAATTAATCAATTATAATCAATTATTAAAAAAAATCGTTCTCATCCAGTAATTGAAAAACTAATCGATTAATTTTTGAAATAATCGATTAGTTCTTGAAATAGTAAAAAAATAAAAAACATATATATATATAATATTATAATATTTTATTTAAAATTTAAAGTTTTAAATTATAATGTTAAAAGGATTTATATATTTATTAGATTAATAATTAATTTAGATTTATTGTTGAAAATAGTAAAATAATATTTTTAAAATATATTATTAAATATTATATTTATGTTTTATTTGCATGATTAAATTTTTTAATTCTTTGATTTATTTGATATTGTAATATATTTTAGAAATTAATAATAAATTAGGAGGATAATAAAAATCTTAAAATTTATATCTATATAAGATGAAATAATATTTTGATATAAAATTATGTTTTTGAAATGTATATTTTTTTGTTTTGTAATATTTTAGAATATATATATATATATATATATATATATATAATTATAATTTATATAATATATAATTGAGTTAACATTAAAAATATATATATTTTTATTAATTTTATAATTATAATTTTTTAAGGTTATAATTTAAAATATAATTTTTTAAAATTTATAATTATAATTTATAAAAAATATATAATATATATAATTTATAAATAATTATTTTTTTAATTTTAATTTGATATATATTTTATTTGTAATTATTTAATGGATATTTGAAAAACAAATCAATTATAATCTATGAAAAGTTAATTGATTATAATCGATTATTTGAAAAAATAATAGGTAAGAAATGATTGTAATTGAGTAATTGAAAAACTAATCGATTAGTTTTTCAAATATACATTAAATAATATATATATATATATATAATATTTTATTTAAAATTTATAATTTTAATTTATAGTTTTTAAAGATTTATATATTTATTAGATTAATAATATATTTAGATTTATGGTTGAAAGTATTAAAATAATATTTTTGAAAGATATTATTAAATATCATATTTATATTTTATTTGTATGATTACTTTTTAAAAAAAATTATTATTTGATATTGTAATATTTTTTTTAGAAATTAATAATAAATTAGGAGGATAATAAAAATAATTATTATTTTTAAATTTTAATTTGATATAATTTTCTATTTATAATTATTTAATATATATTTGAAAAATTAATTAATTATTTAAAAATTAATCAATTATTTAAAAAAATAACTGGTTTCCATCAAGTATGAAAAAGCTAATCGATTACTTTTTGAAATAATCGATTACTTTTTGAATAGTTAAAAAAAATATATATATATATATATATACATATATATATATATATATATATATATATATATTTTATATTATAGAAATGAAAATAAGTTATAATTTGGAGAATATATATATATATATATATATTAAAATATAATTTATTTTTAAGTTGATAAATTTTATTTTTATTTATGTAAATTTTATATATAAAATTAATTTAGAGTTTATATATGTAATTTTAATTTATGTAATATATATATATATATATATATATTTATATAATATATATAATTTATTTAGTATTAAAAATAGTTATATTTTTATTAATTTTATAATCATAATTTTTTTAAGGTTATAATTTTAAATATAATTTTTTAACTTTATATTTATAATTTATATAATATATATAATATAAAAATAATTATTTTTTAATTTTAATTTGATATATATTTTATTTATAATTATTTAATATATATTTAAAAAACTAATTGATTATTTAAAAATTAATCAATTATTTAAAAAAATAATTGGTTCTCATCAAGTATGAAAAAAACTAATCGATTATTTTTTGAAATAGTCGATTAGTTAAAAAAATATATTTATATATATATATTTTTTATATTATAAAAATAAAAATAAGTTATACTTTGGAGAATATATATATGTATATTAAAATATAATTTATTTTTAAGTTGATAATTTTTATTTTTATTTATGTAAATTTTATATATAAAATTAATTTAGAGTTGTAATTTTAATTTATGTAATATATATATATATATATATTATATATATAATTTATATAACATATATAATTTATTTAATATTAAAAATAGTTATATTTTTATTAATTTTATAATTATAATTTTTTTAAGGTTATAATTTTAAATATAATTTTTTTAACTTTATATTTATATTTAAATATAATTTTTGTAACTTTATATTTATAATTTATATAATATATATAATTTAAAAATAATTATTTTTTTAATTTTAATTTGATATATATTTTATTTATAATTATTTAATATATATTTAAAAAACTAATTGATTTTTTAAAAATTAATCAATTATTTAAAAAAATAACTGGTTCTCATCAAGTATGAAAAAAAACTAATCGATTATTTTTTGAAATAATCGATTAGTTAATATATATATATATATATATATATATATATATATATATAAGTATATATATATATTTTATATTATAAAAATAAAAATAAGTTATACTTTGGAGAATATATATGTATATTAAAATATAATTTAGTTTTAAGTTGATAATTTTTATTTTTATTTATGTAAATTTTATATATAAAATTAATTTAGAGTTGTAATTTTAATTTATGTAATATATATATATATATATATATATATATATATATATATAATTTATATAATATATATAATTTATTTAACATTAAAAATAATTATATTTTTATTAATTTTTTAATTATAATTTTTTTTAAGGTTATAATTTTAAATATAATTTTTTTAACTTTATATTTATAATATATATAATTTAAAAATATTTATTTTTATTTATTTTAAGTTGATATATTTTTTTATTTATAATTATTTAATATATATTTAAAGAACTAATTAATTATTTAAAAATTAATCAATTATTTAAAAAAATAACTGATTCTCATCAAGTATGAAAAAATCAAATATGAAAAAACTAATCGACGATTAGTTTTTTAAATAGTTAATATATATATATATATATATATATATATATATATATATTATATTATAGAAATGAAAATAAGTTATAATTTAGAGATATATATATATATATATATATATATATATATATATAATTTATTTTTAAGTTGATAATTTTTTTTATTTATGTAAATTTTATATATAAAATTAATTTAGAGTTTATATATGTAATTTTAATTTATGTAATATATATATATATATATATATATATATATATAATTTATATAATATATATAATTTATTTAGTATTAAAAATAGTTATATTTTTATTAATTTTATAATCATAATTTTTTTAAGGTTATAATTTTAAATATAATTTTTTAACTTTATATTTATAATTTATATAATATATATAATATAAAAATAATTATTTTTTTAATTTTAATTTGATATATATTTTATTTATAATTATTTAATATATATTTAAAAAACTAATTGATTATTTAAAAATTAATCAATTATTTAAAAAAATAATTGGTTCTCATCAAGTATGAAAAAAAACTAATCGATTATTTTTTGAAATAGTCGATTAGTTAAAAAAATATATTTATATATATATATTTTTTATATTATAAAAATAAAAATAAGCTATACTTTGGAGAATATATATATATGTATATTAAAATATAATTTATTTTTAAGTTGATAATTTTTATTTTTATTTATGTAAATTTTATATATAAAATTAATTTAGAGTTGTAATTTTAATTTATGTAATATATATATATATATATATATATATATATATATATATAATTTATATAACATATATAATTTATTTAATATTAAAAATAGTTATATTTTTATTAATTTTATAATTATAATTTTTTTAAGGTTATAATTTTAAATATAATTTTTTTAACTTTATATTTATATTTAAATATAATTTTTGTAACTTTATATTTATAATTTATATAATATATA